ATACAACTTTAGAACACTTTCCCACCAGGAGACTCGAACCCTAGCCAGCACAGAAGCCTTCCAGCAACTGGCATAACAGGTACGCCTTAACCCTCTTTGATCTTTGATCAAAGATCTTTGATCAAAGGGGGATTGGGGGATTTGGGGGATCCCAAATCTTTGGGGGATCCTGATCTTTGGGGGATTTAAATACTCCAAAATTACCATCTCTTTTAAGGGTCTGAGCGGTGGTGCAGAGGGTTAAGGCGTACCTGTTATGCCAGTTGCTGGAAGGCTTCTGTGCTGGCTAGGGTTCGAGTCTCCTGGTGGGAAAGTGTTCTAAAGTTGTATACTTAACTCTCGTGTTTAGGAGAGTTGTGCCTTAAGCAGAGACACTGTGTCTTCCCATATTAACAGGGACTTGATGAAATTAACGTCTAAATGACCCCTCACTTGCTCTGGTGCTCTTGGGAGGTGTTGATCTTTGGGGGATTTAAATACTCCAAAATTACCATCTCTTTTAAGGGTCTGAGCGGTGGTGCAGAGGGTTAAGGCGTACCTGTTATGCCAGTTGCTGGAAGGCTTCTGTGCTGGCTAGGGTTCGAGTCTCCTGGTGGGAAAGTGTTCTAAAGTTGTATACTTAACTCTCGTGTTTAGGAGAGTTGTGCCTTAAGCAGAGACACTGTGTCTTCCCATATTAACAGGGACTTGATGAAATTAACGTCTAAATGACCCCTCACTTGCTCTGGTGCTCTTGGGAGGTGTTGATCTTTGGGGGATTTAAATACTCCAAAATTACCATCTCTTTTAAGGGTCTGAGCGGTGGTGCAGAGGGTTAAGGCGTACCTGTTATGCCAGTTGCTGGAAGGCTTCTGTGCTGGCTAGGGTTCGAGTCTCCTGGTGGGAAAGTGTTCTAAAGTTGTATACTTAACTCTCGTGTTTAGGAGAGTTGTGCCTTAAGCAGAGACACTGTGTCTTCCCATATTAACAGGGACTTGATGAAATTAACGTCTAAATGACCCCTCACTTGCTCTGGTGCTCTTGGGAGGTGTTGATCTTTGGGGGATTTAAATACTCCAAAATTACCATCTCTTTTAAGGGTCTGAGCGGTGGTGCAGAGGGTTAAGGCGTACCTGTTATGCCAGTTGCTGGAAGGCTTCTGTGCTGGCTAGGGTTCGAGTCTCCTGGTGGGAAAGTGTTCTAAAGTTGTATACTTAACTCTCGTGTTTAGGAGAGTTGTGCCTTAAGCAGAGACACTGTGTCTTCCCATATTAACAGGGACTTGATGAAATTAACGTCTAAATGACCCCTCACTTGCTCTGGTGCTCTTGGGAGGTGTTGATCTTTGGGGGATTTAAATACTCCAAAATTACCATCTCTTTTAAGGGTCTGAGCGGTGGTGCAGAGGGTTAAGGCGTACCTGTTATGCCAGTTGCTGGAAGGCTTCTGTGCTGGCTAGGGTTCGAGTCTCCTGGTGGGAAAGTGTTCTAAAGTTGTATACTTAACTCTCGTGTTTAGGAGAGTTGTGCCTTAAGCAGAGACACTGTGTCTTCCCATATTAACAGGGACTTGATGAAATTAACGTCTAAATGACCCCTCACTTGCTCTGGTGCTCTTGGGAGGTGTTGATCTTTGGGGGATTTAAATACTCCAAAATTACCATCTCTTTTAAGGGTCTGAGCGGTGGTGCAGAGGGTTAAGGCGTACCTGTTATGCCAGTTGCTGGAAGGCTTCTGTGCTGGCTAGGGTTCGAGTCTCCTGGTGGGAAAGTGTTCTAAAGTTGTATACTTAACTCTCGTGTTTAGGAGAGTTGTGCCTTAAGCAGAGACACTGTGTCTTCCCATATTAACAGGGACTTGATGAAATTAACGTCTAAATGACCCCTCACTTGCTCTGGTGCTCTTGGGAGGTGTTGATCTTTGGGGGATTTAAATACTCCAAAATTACCATCTCTTTTAAGGGTCTGAGCGGTGGTGCAGAGGGTTAAGGCGTACCTGTTATGCCAGTTGCTGGAAGGCTTCTGTGCTGGCTAGGGTTCGAGTCTCCTGGTGGGAAAGTGTTCTAAAGTTGTATACTTAACTCTCGTGTTTAGGAGAGTTGTGCCTTAAGCAGAGACACTGTGTCTTCCCATATTAACAGGGACTTGATGAAATTAACGTCTAAATGACCCCTCACTTGCTCTGGTGCTCTTGGGAGGTGTTGATCTTTGGGGGATTTAAATACTCCAAAATTACCATCTCTTTTAAGGGTCTGAGCGGTGGTGCAGAGGGTTAAGGCGTACCTGTTATGCCAGTTGCTGGAAGGCTTCTGTGCTGGCTAGGGTTCGAGTCTCCTGGTGGGAAAGTGTTCTAAAGTTGTATACTTAACTCTCGTGTTTAGGAGAGTTGTGCCTTAAGCAGAGACACTGTGTCTTCCCATATTAACAGGGACTTGATGAAATTAACGTCTAAATGACCCCTCACTTGCTCTGGTGCTCTTGGGAGGTGTTGATCTTTGGGGGATTTAAATACTCCAAAATTACCATCTCTTTTAAGGGTCTGAGCGGTGGTGCAGAGGGTTAAGGCGTACCTGTTATGCCAGTTGCTGGAAGGCTTCTGTGCTGGCTAGGGTTCGAGTCTCCTGGTTGGAAAGTGTTCTAAAGTTGTATATATATATATATATATATATATATATATATATATATATATATATATATATATATATATATATATTTTATTTATATATATTGTATATATATATATATATATATTTATTTATATATATATGTATATATATATATATATATATATATATATATATATATATATATATATATATATATATATATATATATATATATATATACCCTATAATAAGGGTCATATAGGGGTTTTATTACGTCCTCGGCTCTCAACAGAGGATCCTGGATTCGATTCTCGGGCGAAACAGAGGTTCATCTAGTAGTAAATAGATACCCAGGAGTTGGGCATCTGTTGTGGGGGGTGGGGGGGGGGGGATTAGACACCTGGGAAAAGGTCATCAGCAGTTGACCTAAGGGGTGACCTCCAGGAACATATCTGGCTTCCAGTCCCCGAACAATGGAAGCCATTAAGCAATGCAGAACTAAACATATTAAGACAATCCGTCTTATTAATATTTATATTAATATAAATTTAAATTAACCTTACCTTAATTAACTCTATATATATAATATATATTAACCTTACCTTAATTAACTTTATATATATAATATAAATTAACCTTACCTTAATTAACTCTATATATATAATATAAATTAACCTTACCAACTTCACACTTACCAACCAACTTCAAATAGGACGAAATAGTGCGCGATAAAGCAGCGTATTATTGATGTTTTCTATACGTCGGTCTCGATAGGTTAGGTGGGTTGCTTGGGTTTGTACGTTCAGGTTAGACAAAACAGTTGTATATTGTTTACGGAGTGGCAGAGATTGTCATTGGGAAAAGTATACAATTTCAGTTGGGCAGCGGTTTGGTGCATCAGCGGGAGCCGGTCGGCCGAGCGGACAGCACGCTGCACTTGTGATCCTGTGGTCCCAGGTTCGATCCCAGGCGCCGGCGAGAAACAATGGGCAGAGTTTCTTTCACCCTATGCCCCTGTTACCTAGCAGTAAAATAGGTACCTGGGTGTTAGTCAGCTGTCACGGGCTGCTTCCTGGGGGTGGAGGCCTGGTCGTGGACCGGGCCGCGGGACACTAAAAAAGCCCCGAAATCATCTCAAGATAACCTCAAGATAACATTTGAAATCTTTCCTTTTGTGGATGTCTCACTAGTACAGTACAGCTTCTGCCTCACGCCCCTGGGGTCAGTGGTTCGAGTTTCCTAGTGCCTAAGTGATCAGTATATGGATGTTGACCAAACCACACACTAGAAAGTGAAGGGACGACGACGTTTCGACTTGAGAATGATCCAGGACGGACCGAAACGTCGTCGTCCCTTCACTTTCTAGTGTGTGGTTTGGTCAACATATTTCAGCCACGTTATTGTGACTCCTCGTCTGCAATATATGGATATATGGATATATGGGCATATTTGGATATATGATATCAGCAGGATATCCCGTGCTGATATTTAAGGTGATTTATTTGCCACTTGTGAATTTGCTTTCATCGTAATAAAAATGTCGATACCTTGAACCTGAACCTATAATGATATTACACAATTTTGTTACATTGTGTTTGAGTTTACCAAATCATAGATAAATATTAATATATTTTAATCACTGGAACACTGTGGTCATTCGAAACAACGTTCTGGGTTTCCCCAGAATACAGAACGCAGGTTCGAATCCCCTGGTGTGCTCCAATGATTTTCGCATATTATCAAACCATCGTGATTTCCTCGTGTGTAATATATTTTGTGTTAAGTGTGCTGTTATCGAGTACAGGAAGCCTCTTAAGATATCGAAACATTACTAATATCAGTTAACAAATGATGTATATAATAACAACTAAAGTAAAAAAGATTAGTGTGTTTGTCCTTAGATAGAAAACCAGTTTCTAAAGGAAATTATTAGATAAATATATCGTCTTCGTTCTTACTGTTGATAAAATTAACTTGATGTGTTATCCTGTTCACTATGTTTTATAATGTATATATATATATATATATATATATATATATATATATATATATATATATATATATATATATATAAATATATATATATTGTTAATTCATAAGAATGGTTACTTTCTGCCAGTCAGGAAATGACGAACCACAGGAAATAGTCATATCATATAAAAAAATATATATATATATTAACGAAACAATCATAAACGACGTATAATTATCTAATATTTAAACCCCCAAGGTGAACCCTTGTCAGGTGAACGCGTTGTTACCTAGAACGTATAATTCAAGAATAAATATTTTCATTTCACCTGTATGGCAAGGGATGAACCCGGGGGCGCGAGGAGGAGGCGGCACCAGCGCTGCCCCACGGGGGTATGGAGACGTGGCAACCCCGCCTGTCTCGGGTGCCGGCAGGGAACGTGTGGAGAAAAACAGTGCACGATCACCCTAGCTACGAGGAGAACGTGTCAGTCGTCCCTAGCGTGGCGCTCTTAACGTCTTTATTGGCCTCTGCCCGTGTGTGGTCCTTGCGGAGAGTGGCCGAGGTGTTCCGGTGAATGCTCTCGTGAATTGCGAGTCGTGTTGCCCTCGTCTTAAAGCGCGGGGCTGGAATTGATTTGCGTAGAGGTTTAAAGGAAGGTTGTGGAGTGTTGAGTGAGTATGCCCGGAACCCCCCGTGGTAAGATGCGGGTATCCTAGCCAACATTCGCTGGGTCCTCTGCCCTGTGGCCCACCCAGGCTTCGTCCGAAACCAAGAGGCACTATTACGGATCTTCTTCTTCCTCCTCCACACACATACGCTCATCCAACACCGTTTGTCCCGTGAACGGTAAGTGTGTGTGTGGCACTTGTAATGTGTGTGTGTTTTAGCGTTAAGTGGTGGAGAGGAAGTGGTGGTGTGGGTATGGTGGTGGTGGTGGGTGGGTGTGTTGGAGGTCTTGTTGTCCTGAAGGTTACGTGTGTGTTTGCACCTGTGGGCCACCTTGCTGCTGCTGCTGCTGGTCTCATGAGGAAGTACACACACACACGCACACACACACACACGCACACACATTCTCACTCACCCGTTAGTTTTAATTTTATGATAATTATCATATCAGTCGCAAGTACTCAGGATGTTTGTAAATACAGATATATCACCAAGGTTATACTTCTGCAACAGGCATGGTAAACTGGTCTCTCTCTCTCTGTCCTGTCTCTGTCTCTCTCTCTGTCTCTCTCTCTCTCTCTCTCTCTCTCTCTCTCTCTCTCTCTCTCTCTCTCTCTCTCTCTCTCTCTCTCTCTCTCTCTCTCTCTCTCTCTCTCTCTCTCTCTCCGCCAGAGGACCACGAAGGCAAGTAGTCAGTCTTAAACTGAGGAATTATTCGCTGCCCCCCAAGGTCAATGGACACTGCAGTCACCCGCCAGCAACTTCATGACTCGTGCACTTACAACGAGCTTAGATGCTGGCCCGACATTCCTGCGTGACGGGATCACAAGATGCAGCTTCCCCCCACCACTATTATCAGCCTGTTTTCAACTGATGCTATTATCTCCATGGGATGGATAGGCTGCCTCCCGACTAAGGTCTTCATCTAGTTGGGCTGCTATCATTTCTCTATAGACAAGGATATATATACACAAATGATAACGTGGACTGATGTTTATCAAACATTTATAACAGTATTCACACTTGTTAGTCGGAAATGTTTTCAAGAGATACGTTAAAGGTCACTCTTGATGTTATTTTAAATTTGCAAGTTTGGTATATTAACATTTATACTCTAGATTTTAAAAAGCATCGTAGTCCATAGATTTTTCCCTTGTGCTATAAACTGATGTTGTCCTATTTATAATGATACGTTTATAATACAGTAGGCTCTATTTAGTAGCACTTAGAACAGTCGGATTGAAAAACAAAAAAAAAAACAAGATTTTATGAATTTTTAGTTAACGCTGTGTGTCTGGGCATTGTTTTGATATGAGAGAGTAGACAGGAGGGTTACTGTGAGCGGCGTCTTGCTTCTCCACTCGCCAACATTTCCAGATAAGCACAACCTCAAATATAGCACCACTGTTTGTGTACTTAGGAAGCCGTGACCGCGTGCAAGTTATGACCTCAGTACTGGTATTGCAGCGTTTTAACATATTTGTTTTATTGCGAAGAGAAATGAGCGTGTGGGGCCCACACACACACACACACAGCGTGAGTGTCTCGCTATGTTGAGGGTACTTTTGAGTGCGTCCTCTGTCATGTTTCTGCGGGAGACTCGCTTATAATATAAGATTTTTTTTTTTTTAATTTTGCCCCGAGGGACAAGTTTATTGGGCAGCGCCACTCATCCTGTGAGTGGACACACCGCCATAGTGACAGTATTGGGCAGCGCCACTCATCCTGTGAGTGGACACACCGCCATAGTGACAGTATTGGGCAGCGCCACTCATCCTGTGAGTGGACACACCGCCATAGTGACAGTATTGGGCAGCGTCACTCATCCTGTGAGTGGACACACCGCCATAGTGACAGTATTGAGCAGCGCCACTCATCCTGTGAGTGGACACACCGCCATAGCAGCATGTACAACACTCCCCAAAAGGAAGAAAACCCGCTGGGTTGTTCATCCTGTCACTTGTACCCAGACACAGCTGGGACTTGCTTAACTGTTTCAAGTGAACAGAATATAAGAGTTTTTAGATATTTAGAGCCTTATAGTGTCTTTTATAATATAGGTTAGGTCTAGGGTAGCTATATTGTTTTGATGATTGAAGGCCTAACTAGGAATATTGAACATGTTCAAGACTAGGTTCGACTGACGATTGCTCACATTTCGCGAAAACACCGCCCAACCCGTCAATGTCAATAGGCCTAAAAAAATGCCTTGTCAACCATTTAATCCTTGTTAGAATAAGCTCATACCTACATTATTGAAGTAAACCCTCATTGTAACCGTATAATGCATTTAATCCAGCTTAATTAACAACACATTACAAATTGTATTAGCTTGGATATGCTCACATGTGTACCACAACAGTGGACGGCTTGGTTAATTGGATATTGGATAGGCTATTTGGATAAGTAACAATATATCCTATTGTTTTGAGGTGTTTTGTATGGCAACGTCAGAGCGTTCCAATATGTTCACCTCATTGTTATCCAGCCTTGGTGTGCGCTCATCGCCTTGGCTTGTTTACCTCTAGTTCGTCTCATTCTGGCTTCCACCAGCCACGTGGTGGTAAGTTTCCCTCCCCATGCACACCCTCTCTCATCTTCCCACGCCCCATGTTGAACGGCATTAGGCTACATGTAGCTCGCAAACTGCAGTAGTTGGTGTGTGTGTGTGTGTGTGTGTGTGTGTGTGTGTGTGTGTGTGTGTGTGTGTGTGTGTGTGTGTGTGTGTGCCTAATTGTGCTTGCGGGGGTTGAGCTCTGGCTCTTTGGTCCCGCCTCTCAACCGTCAATCAACTGGTGTACAGGTTCCTGAGCCTGTTGGGCTCTATCATATCTACACTTGAAACTGTGTATGGAGTCAGCCTCCACCACATCACTTCCTAATGCATTCTATTTGTCAACCACTCTGACACTAAAAAAGTTCTTTCTAATATCTCTGTGGCTCGTTTGGGCACTCAGTTTCCACCTGTGTCCCCTGGTGCATGTGCCCCTTGTGTTAAATAGCTTGTCTTTATCTACCCTATCAATTCCCTTAAGAATCTTGAATAGGTGATCATGTCCCCCCTAACTCTTCTGTCTTCCAGCGAAGTGAAGTTTAATTCCCGTAGTCTCTCCTTGTAGCTCATACCTCTCGGCTCGGGTACTAGTCTGGTGGCAAACCTTTGAACCTTTTCCAGTTTAGTCTTATCCTTGACTAGATATGGACTCCATGCTAGGGCTGCATACTCCAGGATTGGCCTGACATATGTGGTATACAAAGTTCTGAATGATTCTTTATACAAGTTTCTGAATGCCGTTAGTATGTTGGCCAGCCTGGCATATGTCGCTGATGTTATCCTCTTGATATGGGCTGCAGGGGACAGGTCTGGCGTGATGTCAACCCCAAGTCTTTTTCTCTCTCTGACTCTTGAAGAATTTCATCTCCCAGATGATACCTAGTATCTGGCCTCCTGCTCCCTACACCTATCTTCATTACATTGCATTTGCTTGGGTTAAACTCTAACAACCATTTGTTCGACCATTCCTTCAGCTTGTCTAGGTCTTCTTGAAGTCTCAAGCAGTTCTCCTCTGTCTTAATCCGTCTCATAATTTTGGCATCGTCAGCAAACATTGAGAGAAATGAATCTATACCCTCCGGGAGATCATTTACATTTATCAGAAACAAGTTAGGACCGAGTACAGAGCCCTATAGGACTCCACTGGTGACTTCACGCCAATCTGAGGTCTCACCCCTCACCGTAACTCTCTGCTTCCTATTGCTTAGGTACTCCCTTATCCACTGGAGCACCTTACCAGCTACACCTGCCTGTCTCTCCAGCGTATGTACTTATTCTCTTACTCTCTTATTCTCTTATTCTCTTAAACTCTTATGCGGCACTGTGTCAAAGCTTTCCGACAATCCAAGAAAATGCAGTCCGCCCAGCCTTCTCTTTCTTGCTGCTGCTGCTGTTTGTGTGTGTGTGTGTGTGTGTACTCACCTAGTTGTGCTTGCGGGGGTTGAGCTCTGGCTCTTTGGTCCCGCCTCTCAACCGTCAATCAACAGGTGTACAGGTTCCTGAGCCTATTGGGCTCTATGTGTGTGTGTGTGTGTGTGTGTGTGTGTGTGTGTGTGTGCGTGTGCGTGTCTGCGTGCAAGAAATGTTCATTTGTGTATCTATCGATGATATTATATAAGCTTGTAAAACCTCCCTCATAAGATACGCGCACACACACAGTAACTGAAACGAGATAATAGATCATTATACTCCATTATCTGCCACATAATGATACAATGACTCGAGCCAGTTTTTTCGTGCCTAAGCTGCTCAGAAAAACTACGTGAAGTTAGCCTCGATTATCTCCTCTTTTAACTCATTTCACATAGGCCTCGTGTGTGTGTGTGTGTGTGTGTGTGTGTGTGTGTGTGTGTGTGTGTAGGCCATATTAGCACGCTTTACAAGGGCCTACTATTTAAATGCAATGGCTTTCTTCCATGTATCTGTTCAATCTATTTGTCAAGCTTTCCATACAATTATTTATATCGTAAGAGACTAGTCAGTTCCCATCACTTAACCCAATAACTCAGCCTAATCTAATACAACCCAATCTAACGTAACACATCCCAGTCTAACCAAACTCAACCCAGTCTAGCCTAACACAACCCAAATCCGAACTAAATCACAGTATGGAATGGTGTGTGTATGTTTTGCTCGTCCCTTCACATGCCGATAATATTTGTCTGGTCAAAACAATGGCCTTAACACTTCATAAACAGGATGAGTGACTGGTTCACGGAATACCAAATCCCAGAAGACATTAACACATTTGTTGATGACCTTAACCACCAAATTGAGAGCTGTCTAAGAGTTCCGCGCCGTACGCCTGGGCGAAGTAACCCTCAGAGGAAGAAAATAAAATGGTATGAGAATGATTACATAAAGATGCTTAACGCAAATGTGCGAGACATGAGTAGAGAGTACCGGAGACATCCCACTGAAAGTAACCAAGAGTTGTTTAAGACAGTGTGTCAAGTAGCCAGGGAAGAGAAGATTAAAGAGCGGGAAAGACAATGGCTTGAGTTCACTAGCTCTATTGGACGGGAAACATCTGCAAGACAAGTGTGGGCAAAAATTCAGATAGCTAAGGGGGGCAGAGCCCGGCCTGCGGCTCACAAAGACCCCCAGGGTAAGGCTGAGGAACTAATTCACAAGTGGAGTGATGCAGCATCCTCCTCCTCCCTCCCTGCAGAAATCAGCAGGGAACAGCTCCTGCGACATGATGACAGAAGAATTAGGATAACAAGAGCACTGTCTAGTGATGACGAGTATGGGGAACCAATCACAGCCCAAGAAGTAAGGGGCGCTATGAAAAAGGGTAAAAGTACAGCACCTGGTGAAGATGGCGTCACCTACGACATACTCAATGCACTGTGTGCAGTGTCTGGGAATCCACTACTCCACCTGTTTAACAAGTCATTCCTAAGTGGAGTGTTGCCCACACAATGGAAACACGCAATAATTATTCCCATACCGAAGCCTAATGACCCTGGTAATTACAGACCTATCAGCCTCGTGTCATGCACTTGCAAGATGCTTGAAAGGATCATCCTAAACCGACTGTTGCACAAAATAGGCAGGTTAGGGGAGGGGGTCAATGGATTTGTTAAAGGACGGAGCACAGCAAATTGTATAGTTAATTACTTGGTTAATGACACGGCTAGGTACTCTGTATTTGTTGACATCAAAGGAGCCTTCGACAAAGCACAGGGGATTGCGATCCTGGACGAGCTTGCATGCATGGGTGTCAAGGGGAGACTCATGAAATGGGTTGAAGACTACCTCACAGGAAGGGAAGCCAAGGTTTGCTTCAATGGAGCAGTCTCCAGAACAATGAGTATGGAACTCGGGACCCCCCAAGGCGGAGTCTTAAGCCCTACACTATTCAATGTACTTATGAACGCCATTGCAAATATTGATTTTCCGGAAGGAACACAACAAGTGGGATATGCAGATGATGTCCTAATACAAGCTCCCACCTTGGGAAAAATTGAACAGTCCATTGAACTCCTCGGAAGGAAATGTATTGAGCTCGGTTTCACTCTCTCCACAAACAAGACGAAGGCATACTCCCATCACAAGCGGAGAGCAAATGAAGAACTGCAAATTAATGGTGTAACACTTGAATGGGTTGACCACTACCGGTACCTTGGCGTCACTGTCGGCTCTAACAAGGGAAAGAAAGAGGAGCTCAATCAACTCATAGGAACATGCAAAAGTCGACTCAAGGCACTGAAAGCTATGACCTGGAATGGACATGGAGCCTCAATTGCCGTGCTCAAAATGATGTACACAGCCTATGTGCGCTCCGTCATAGACTATGCCGCACCAGTACTGTGCACCTACTCCCAAACCGATATGAAAAGGCTTGAAAGCATTCAAAATGAAGCCATGACAATCATTCTTGGAGTCCCAAGAACTGCCAAAACGTCTAATCTACGAGAGGAGTTGTCCCTTCCCAGTATTAAAAACAGAATTCAGGAGCTGAATGCTAAGCTTGCAATTAGGATAGCCAGAGATCCCCATTACAATGATATTGCCAAGAAAAAACTGAGCTCTGTGCTACTTTCAGGGGGAAACAGGAGAAGCAAAAAATGGCATCACAGAGCAGTCTGCTACCTTGAAGAGCTTCACCTGCTTGAGCAAGCCCGTGAGCTCCTGCCTGTAGAGAGGTTACCTCCCTGGGAGGATGACTCATGCAAGATCATCATCAATGAAATGGCAATGAAAAAATCCAACATGATACCACAAGAAATGAGGCACAAGTATCTCGAGGACATTTATAAAGAAGCCGGAGATGAACTAGATCAAATCTACACTGACGGGTCATCTAATCCTATCAATGGCAGGGCTGGTGCAGCATACACGGTAATCAAGGATAATACCTTCCAACGCAGAAATGAAGAAAAAGCACGTATTGAGAACTATGCCTCTTCAACGCAAGCAGAGCTAACTGCCATTGTTATGGCGTTAAGGTTTCTTGAACGGAACACTAATGGTGCAGTGATTTGCACCGATTCAAAAGCAGCACTGCAAAGCCTAAGTAAAAATCAGGCAGAAAATCTTGCAATAGTCGCTGAAATCAAGAGAGCTGTGAGAGTACTTACCAATCAGGGAAGAGTCATCAAGTTTCTGTGGATCCCCTCCCATGTTGGAATATGTGGGAATGAACGAGCAGATGTGCTGGCTGCTGAAGGCGCTGAAGGAGACCATATTGAATACTTCATACCCAAGACTCAACTACAAATTAGAGGTATTATCAGGCAACATCACCGTGACAAGGTAACTGAGGAAAGGAGGATAGAAGCACAAACCAGTGAATCTGTACGATGGTACAACATGGTTGCAGCTGGCAATCCCAATCAGTATGGCCGAAGAGGAGGACGACGAGTGAGAGAATCTGTAATAGCGAGAATCCGTCTTGGATACAAATATCCATGGAGATTTGGAATGGAAACAACAGTTGATCAGCGAAGTTGCAGAATCTGTGGTGAGAGTGATGGACACCGCCTTGACCACTATCTACGTGAATGTGAACACCTGAGAGACATTAGGAATAACTGTAGAATAATAAACCCCACATTGTTTGAGTTAGGAAAACACTATTTGTCAAATATTGATACTGTTCTTAAAAGATTTCCCCATTTTGCACCCGCAAGATAACGTAAGCTTTTAAGGGTTGATAAATGTTAATCTTCTTGTTTGAGGAGCTGTTCACTTGAGACAGTTAAGCAAGTCCCAGCTGTGTCTGGGTACAAGTGACAGGATGAACAACCCAGCGGGTTTTCTTCCTATTGGGGAGTGTTGTACATTCTGCTATGGCGGTATGTTCACTCACAAGATGAGTGGCGCTGCCCAATAAACTCGCCCCTCGGGGCAAAATTTAAAAAAAAAGAGGACCCAAAACAGAAACCGGGACAGTATGTCACGTTCGCCAGCCGCGATCATTTTCTAGTGGACAATTTTTTGGCTTTAGGCAAAGTAAACGTCAAAATGCAACGTTCTATTAGGAGGACGGATTGCCTCAGTAAGTCTCAGTCTCAGTGTCTCAGTAAGCCTCAGTCTCAGTGCCTCAGTAAGTCTCAGTCTCAGTGTCTCAGTAAGCCTCAGTCTCAGTGCCTCAGTAAGCCTCAGTCTCAGTGCCTCAGTAAGCCTCAGTCTCAGTGTCTCAGTAAGCCTCAGTCTCAGTGCCTCAGTAAGCCTCAGTCTCAGTGCCTCAGTAAGTCTCAGTGCCTCAGTAAGCCTCAGTCTCAGTGCCTCAGTAAGCCTCAGTCTCAGTGCCTCAGTAAGTCTCAGTCTCAGTGTCTCAGTAAGCCTCAGTCTCAGTGCCTCAGTAAGCCTCAGTCTCAGTGCCTCAGTAAGTCTCAGTCTCAGTGCCTCAGTAAGCCTCAGTCTCAGTGCCTCAGTAAGTCTCAGTCACAGTGTCTCAGTAAGCCTCAGTCTCAGTGCCTCAGTAAGTCTCAGTCTCAGTGCCTCAGTAAGCCTCAGTGCCTCAGTAAGCCTCAGTCTCAGTGCCTCAGTAAGCCTCAGTCTCAGTGCCTCAGTAAGCCTCAGTCTCAGTGCCTCAGTAAGCCTTAGTGCCTCAGTAAGCCTCAGTCTCAGTGCCTCAGTAAGCCTCAGTCTCAGTGCCTCAGTAAGCCTTAGTGCCTCAGAGCCTCAGTAAGCCTCAGTCTCAGTGCCTCAGTAAGCCTTAGTGCCTCAGAGCCTCAGTAAGCCTCAGTCTCAGTGCCTCAGTCTCAGTGCCTCAGTAAGTCCCAGTCTCAGTGCCTCAGTCTCAGTGCCTCAGTAAGCCTCAGTCTCAGTGCCTCAGTAAGCCTCAGTCTCAGTGCCTCAGTAAGCCTCAGTGCCTCAGTAAGCCTCAGTGCCTCAGTAAGCTTCAGTCTCAGTGCCTCAGTAAGCCTCAGTCTCAGTGCCTCAGTAAGCCTCAGTGAGCCTCAGTCTCAGTGCCTCAGTAAGCCTCAGTCTCAGTGCCTCAGACAGTCTTCCTGTCACCGACGAGGGGAAACATAACTATGTAGCCCCATGTCCTCTCCGGGCAGATTGACACACCCACCGCAGCCAGTTCTTTGGATTTGCCATTCCGTAAAAAAAAATTCTCACACCTTATAGCCTAGCCAGAAGCGTACGCACCAAGGCAACTCACCCAACCTATGGAGTCCGATGTATAGAAAGAGTGAATATTTGTGAGTTGTTACTTTCCTTATAATATGTTGCATATTATATAATATAAGATATAATGTTGCATATTATACCGTTGGTGTCGATAAGGTAAACAAACTTGAGAGGACGGGTTGGACTCCTACCACCGAGGGATATATGCTGTACTAGAGCGACTTTTCGCTTATATAATGTTATATTTTACTACTTGACCGAAACTGCTTTGCATATAAGAGTCTGGAGCATACCTGGACAAGGTTTCGAGAGTTCTTCTACTCCCCGTGCCCGGCCTGAGGCCAGTCTCGACAGCTGTAAATACAGTAATTCTCTAATGGGTAGTGGAAATATTCTAAAGTGGAGTCAACCCATTTAGGACAGACAATACTTCGGTGTATTGTCAAGGGTAAGACATGAAAATGTTTGTTTTAAAAGCATTACAATCTGATAGCTTAGGCTATTCTCTAATGCAGCATACAATATTGTACCAATTATTTAATAGAATTTTAAGACAAAAGCAGTATCTTGCCATGAGAATTTACTTGCATTATATTCATATGTTAATTACGATAGGTAAAAGCACTGGTAAATGTGTCTTGGCTTTTGCGTAAAGAAAGCTTTTAACACTCCAGACTGGAGAGTAACGACTAAGGAAATGTTAAAACATGACATTGGTGACAAAATGCTTAATGTGATCAGATTTTGCCTAGAAGCTAAAAGTAAACAGAAATGGGGAACAGTCATGATGGGTACAGTTTAAAAGTAGTACATGCCCAGGGTACATGTACATGCCCAGGGTACATGTACATGCCCAGGGTACATGTACATGCCCAGGGTACATGTACATGCCCAGGGTACATGTACATGCCCAGGGTTCTGACCTGGGTCAAGGTATTTGTCGTAACATTTACCAGTGATCTAGATGTAGGCTTGTTTACAGGAAAAATTGCAGACAATCCTAAAGCAAAGAGCATTAGGAGTTTGCAAGAGGACTGGGAAGAACTGCCTAAATACCTGGATAGACTTTAGGCTTCGCTGGAGTTTAATGTGTTCACAAACAATTTAATTTGGACACAAATAAACGTTTAACCTCGTTAAGAAGTAGGACGATATTATCTCAGTATTGTAGACTGAGATAATATTGCAATTATTATACAGTATAATTATGATAATACCTATTATTTGCAATAACAATAATCTTTCTTATAATTATTGCAATTACACAAAACATTTTGGGTATAATAACACATTTTTGGGTACAATATCCCATATTTTCTTCATTCCATCCTTAGCGCCTATAGTTCACTAAGCTTTGCACTAGAGATTACAATTACAATTACTACTGCTATACCTCTTAATATGTCACATTTGAGAATAATATAAAAAATACATAAATGTGGCATTTTCTCGTCTAAATTGATGTAAATATGGTCTTTATTTAGTATTATATATTATTTAATACAAAAAGAGTCATAATAAAAATTGTCACATTTATATATACTCAACCCTCATGCCAACGGCCATACCACGTTGAGAACACCGCTTCTCGTCCGATCAGCGAAGTTAAGCAACGTTGGGTTTGGTTAGTACTTGGATGGGTGACCGCCTGGGAACACCAAATGCTGTTGGCAATAATGTTTAGGAGGCCTGGTCGACGACCGGGCCGCGGGGACACTAAGCCCCGGAAGCACCTCAAGGTAGCCTCTAGGTAGGTAACCCATCCTCGACAAATGATAAACCCATAGTTACTATGAGTGGAGTGACAGGTTGGCAGTTAATAATCTGAAAAGTGTTAGTGATGGTACGAGTACGAAAATATCAAGGAGAGATGTGAAGTGCAAAAAGTCAATAAACCACAAGAATGAATAGAAAGATTTGGGCTTATGGACGAATGGATAGGGTAGGATAAGGCCGCGTTATCCTCATCCAAATCCTCTTCAAGAATTTCAACTCCTCAACCTGCTTCCTGAGCCTTTTTCAAGTTCTTTGGACATAGAAGAAGGTGGACGGACATGGTGAGAGAGTTTGTGAGAAAGTTATGCAGTGTGTGAATAACCCAGCGGGATATGTTAAAAGGCAGTGAATGCTTTTGTAAAAAAAAAAAAAATGTATAACAATTCAAGAGGAAGACTGGAGGCTTATACATGGTCCCAAGAAGCAGTGGGTTGCCGCTTTGGATGATTTTAGAAGTATAGTGTTTATATATACGTGAGTGAATATTTTGTAAATTATGTAGGGCTTAAGATGTACAGAAATGTCGCCACTGGCATTTGACACGTGTGGGATGGGTATATATTCTTTGCTAGTATATATTCACGTGTACCATGGGTACATATTCTTTGTTTATGGGTATATATTCACGTGTGGGATGGGTATATATATTATTTACTTATATACCCTCATGAATGGACGAGTGATATTTGTAATGCATTCAATTCCATATGAACCTTGTGCTGCATTAATCATTGTTCTCCTGGATAATGCCTTCCCACCCTGTCAGACGACGATAAAGGGCCAGGATGATAATAATGTTGTATAGATCTACCAAGTCAAATAACTGAAGTGAATGTATAGGGAAGTTTCTAGAATTGGTTGGATACATATCATGTATCCATACATGGTGGATATGTGGGCCTGCGGGCCGCTCCAAGCAACAATCTGTTGGACCAAGCTCTCACAAGTCAAGCCTGGCCTCGGGCCGGGCTTGGGTAGTAGAAGAACTCCCAGAACCGTATCCAGGTACAATCTAGATATATATACTGTATATGTGATAATATTTGGTTTGAATTGGGTATATTTCATGCCCCCGACAAGGCAAGGTAGGAAGGAAACGCTAAGCCGTTACGACTATATAGCACTGGGAAGGAGTCAGAATAAGGATTTGGGATGGGACGGGAGAAAAGAATGGTGCCCAACCACTTAGACGGTCGGGGATTGAACGCCGACCTGCATATAGCGGTACCGCCCAGTCTTAAGTGGTTGGGGCATGTCCCCGACAAAACAAAATATATATTCGATTATTGTTTGAGGTAAATATGCGAGAACATATATGGGTCACACATGACATTACACCAGCCGTTCTCTCCAGAGCTCCCAACGTCAAGAAACTGACGTACTAAAGTGCCCTTATCCTAACCTACCAGAGGACCCAAAACAGAAAACGGGACAGTACGCCACTTTCGCCAGCCACTGCCATTTTCTAGTACGACAGTTTTTGGCCTTAGGCAGAGTGTACGTCAAAATACGACGTGCTATCAGGAGGGCGGGATGGTTACACTCCGTATCTCACACTTGAGGCGCCAATAACCACAAATATCCTTCTTCTTTGATCAATTCACACGATACAAAAATTTGTTTCAGTAAGTTAACACATTAACTGTAGTTAATACATTAGCTATAGTTAATACATTAGCTGTATTTAATACATTAGCTATAGTAAATACATTAGCTGTAGTTAACACATTAGCTGTAGTTAATACATTAGCTATAGTTAATACATTAGCTGTAGTTAATACATTAGCTGTAGTTAATACATTAGCTGTAGTTAATACATTAGCTGTAGTTAATACAATTAGCTGTAGTTAATACATTAGCTGTAGTTAATACAATTAGCTGTAGTTAATACATTAGCTGTAGTTAGCAACTCGAAGAATGATTTTCTGGAATCCAAACATGGCAACTGGGAGGAGTCGCCTGGAGCCACGGCATTGTCGTGTTTTGTCCGCCCTGGAGCATTGTCGTGTTTTGTCCACCCTGGAGCATTGTCGTGTTTTGTCCATCCTGGAGCATTGTCGTGTTTTGTCCATCCTGGAGCATTTTCGTGTTTTGTCCATCCTGGAGCATTGTCGTGTTTTGTCCATCCTGGAGCATTGTCGTGTTTTGTCCACCCTGGAGCATTGTCGTGTTTTGTCCACCCTGGAGCATTGTCGTGTTTTGTCCACCCTGGAGCATTGTCGTGTTTTATCCACCCTGGAGCATTGTCGTGTTTTGTCCATCCTGGAGCATTGTCGTGTTTTGTCCACCCTGGAGCATTGTGTTTTGTCCACCCTGGAGCATTGTCGTGTTTTGTCCATCCTGGAGCATTGTCGTGTTTTGTCCATCCTGGAGCATTGTCGTGTTTTGTCCATCCTGGAGCATTGTCGTGTTTTGTCCATCCTGGAGCATTGTCGTGTTTTGTCCATCCTGGAGCATTGTCGTGTTTTGTCCGCCCTGGAGCATTGTCGTGTTTTGTCCATCCTGGAGCATTGTCGTGTTTTGTCCATCCTGGAGCATTGTCGTGTTTTGTCCGCCCTGGAGCATTGTCGTGTTTTGTCCGCCCTGGAGCATTGTCGTGTTTTGTCCGCCCTGGAGCATTGTCGTGTTTTGTCCATCCTGGAGCCCCCCCTCCACACACACACACACCCAGGAAGCAGCCCGTAGCAGCT